TTGGCCAAGATCAAAATTGGTATATTTTTTTGCTTAAAACACTAAATCACCAATTGGCCAATTATTATTTTGATTTTGCCAGATCTATGTTGCACTTTTATTAGGTAAATAATGTGAGGCAGGGAGGTGTTAAATGTAGCTGCTACACCTGTACCACAGTGTCATAGTACAATGACTTTGATTCATGTTATTTAAATAGGCAACTGATTTAAATTGAAAAAACATTAAATTAAATGACAGTTTGAATCATTGAAGAGCAGTAATGTTGTTTATATTGCACTATATATTTGGTTAGTAAAAAGTACGAAAGTGGTTCATGTGTTCATTCTCCCCTCACAGTGTGAGTCTTCGGATTTAAAAACGGGCTAATCAAAATTGTAAAGATCCCTGGTGATGCTACAGCCATCCGTGGCCGGGAGTCCAAGAGAGCACAATTGGCCTCGCTCTCTGGGTGGGTAAGATGCCCCCCCCCTTCTCCCTACTCAACGTAGTAGACCCGGTGGTTGGCACTTTACTCTGAACGCGTTCAGCTGTCTAATGACGTTGCGTGAGCGGCAGTTCGAAAAGAAGCAGTGGCGCTTCACAGGTGTCGGAGGAAGCCTGTGCTAGCCTTTGCCCTCCTAGTGCTGGTGGTATCGTGTGATTGGGGGAGTCCTAACTAGCGGGTGGAATTGGAGACGACTAAATTGGGAAGAAAATTGGAAAGAAAATTATTTGGGAAGAAAATTATTTAAAGAACATCGGAATCAGCTATAAAAGTTCATGATCCCTAAGAAACATTTATAATGCATTTTTAGTCAAAAAATAAAGACAGTTTCAATTGGTAGTGCTGTAGAAACAGTTTATGTTTGTGCACAAGTGTGTACTTAGGCCTGCCACAATTGTTATGTGATCTCCTGATCGAAATTACTTGAGGTGACTGCACACTATCCCCCACAGTCGTTAGCTTACACAATCGTTTTGCTGCTTTCGGATGAAAAACTTGTATGTCCATTTTTGTCGTTTTTGAGTTTTTAGTATAATTTGTAAATGTCTGTTGCCATTTACATTGTGTGTAAATTTCCTGAAGAATGGACCAAAAGAAACGTCCAAAAACATCTGGTTCCAGTGACTTACAATAAAAGTAAAGTAGGTTTTCTCCTTTAGGAGATACAAGGTTTTCTTCCGACAACAGCAATATGTTCACGTCGCAGTGAACAGAATGTGTATTGTTTGTGTTTTAGGGCAAATGCATGCAAATAGCCCGTGTCGTGGGTCTTAAGAAAACAGCAAAAGTTCTAATTTTTGACAACACTTTAGAGGGCAGCGTAATGTTTGGTTTTTTGAGTGTTATTTCTGTAGTCAGTTGGGAGCTACTATAGCTACAATAGCTAGAAAGAAAAATAGCTGATCATCCTGATTTGGCCACTTTATAGTTGCATACAGTTAATAAAAACGACAGTTACATTTTTAATTGCAGTTGTTTACGCCATGTTTGACCACCTTGGAAAGGAAATTCATTGATCTTTTAATTGGGAGATGTACATCTGTAATACAACACGGTCAACTCATGATCTTGCTGTGCACAACAGTGAGTGTCAGAAGGTAAATTAATGTAGCATAGTCCTTCAGAAGTAATGTGATACTGTTTAGGATGTATATTTGTGCTTATCCTGTTCATTTTGTATATAGCCTGCTTCCACAAGAGCTCTGCATACTGTGCTAGCGCACAAGCAACTTGTCTTCGGCCTGCGCCTGACTGCTTTCATTTCACCGTGGGGAGAGGATGCTGCGGTTCTTTATATTCAACTGCAAAGGATGCAGGCAAACCACCCCTTTGTCCATGTGTTGTGTCTTTCTGATGAAGGCATTAGAAGAGACTTACTCAAGCAAGTTAGCACAATTTCCTGTTTTATACACATGAATGAAGGCAGGTTTGGTTATTCTTACTTTTCATGCTTTGGAGGCGTGAGTAAGCGCAGACACATTCCTGTTCCATTATCTGCCTGAAGTGTGTGAAGAAAACACATTACCAGTGAAGCAAGCCACGGAGATGATTGGCTCCCACCAGCAGCTTATTCCCTTCACCACTTCGTCAATTACGCACTTTTAGCGAGGAAGCAATTAACAGGCAAACGGCACGGTGGACTCGGCCGAACTTGTTTTTTTTTTCCTCCCCGTGATCCGCAATCGCTCATTGTCATAATGATACATGGCTGCATCAGGTTCTTTGGCCTGACAAAAGCTCGTTCTGGCTTTTATTCGCTGTATCTCTTTCAGGGAATCAGAGGGGACAAATGCATCACCTCAGCAATCGAGTACACATAAATCTCATTGTAAAAGGGGCTTGTCCCAGGTCAGATTCAACCAGACACTGGCTTTTGTCGAGCCGGCTTTTATTTATTGCCCCGAGCTCTTTTAGGTTAGCCTTTTGTGTATGTGGATAAATAATTGTTTTAAAGATTATCTTTGGGGAGTTGTGTATTATGAAGGCTATTGTTTTAAAGCTGGACCCGGGAGGGGGCATTTGGCATTCTTTTTATTGCTAAGTTACTCTTAAATTACAGGGGTAATTAACCCTTAGATGAGACATGATAATTTTAGGGGGACTGTAGACCTGCTGTTAGCTCTTTGTGAGACTTCACAGTATGGCAAGAATTTCAAGAAAACACAAATCAAACAGCATTTAATACCTTTAGATTGAATGCAGTATGAATGAAGCAGTTTGATGCTGTACAGATGTACATATCGCCGCTGTCTGATCAAAACCTTGTATTTCCAAAATAGTAACTTTACAGGAGAAGGAAAAGGCACTCTTAACCTATTATGTAAGTTATTGCAACAAGATTATATTCTAAGTAATTTTGGAGAATTTCTGTTAGTCCATTCATTGTGTCAAAATGTAAAGGACAGCTGGTGTTTTCAAATTAAGTAAAAATATACTGTATGTAGCAAGTTTAGCTGAACTGTTTGCTTATTAGTATTTTTAACATAATATAATCAGCAATGAACATGGGCAGTCTCTGATTTTGAGAGGCTTACCATCTTACCCTCTGTGACAATTTTATAAATTCAAAGCACAGCTTGCAGAGAAATTGGACAAAAAAGCCTGAACTTTTTTGGTTAATGGTACCGTGATATATGGACAGTTTAGGGTGAAGTTAGAAATAGCAATTGATTGTTTTAGATGGTGCTGCTAGTTTAAATGTAATTTCATCATTGTCCTGTTCAGGTGGGCAGATAAATCTTTTGTTTTAATAGTGTCTCTTAGTTCACATGCCAGAGAGGCAAAATGAAGCCGTAATTACAAGGCTTAATTGATGTGTTTTTACTGTTATGGACTATCCTTCTACTCCCTGCACTCTTTTCACAGCGAACGCCCTGCTTGCTGTTGTTTGCGCTATATTTCTCTGCGTATTGATTGCTATTATGGTAAATCCGATGGGCACAATGGAACTCTATCAGCAAAATACAGGTTAATTATCTTGAGGTCAGCCGGCCTCCGATTCACACAAAGGGCCAGTCTTCTTCGCTCTTTATGACCTAGCATTAAATTGTGAGCACAAATTATCACAGGAGATTCAGGGAAATTAGGAGGTAAAAAAAGGCAGGTTTTACAAAGTACTTTCTTTTTTGCTTATCAACAATTTTTCTCTCAACAGAGAGTGTTTTGACTTAAAGGCCATAATATAGGAAGAAAATCTGTGTGCAGTTTGTCTGTGGTGGTTTGTGACTGTCATAACCCACTGGACAAATTTAGGCAACTTTGATCTCCAAACATCTAAATGGTGAAGCACAATAGAATATTATCAATATCAATGTTAATGTATCAACAAATTGAGATGATAAAATACAATACATTTAATAATAGAGCCGACACAAATAACTTTAGTATCCGTTAATTATCTATTAATTTGGAACGTTGATGTTTCTCTATTTCGGAAGCCACAAAAATTGCAGTCTAAACTACAAACCATTTAATCAGCAAAGGTCTTTAAATAGTTATTTCGTGTGGGAAATGATCACAGTTTTAGCAGTCCGATTGCTTTGCATCCTGTATCCAAGAGGACAGGCTACACCAAGGCAAATGAAGTACCTGCCAAGTTGCTTTCAGGGTGGCCCTCCTTGCATTCAGAAGGGCCTGTAGTTCCAAAAGCCGCTTAATCCTCTGCTCCGCTGTCTGGTGCCCAGCTATGACTGAGCTCAACTCAGCCTGCATGTTGCCCTCACTGCTGTTTCCAAGATAAAAAACAGCACACTAGCCAAATAAAATTACTCAGTAAACTAAACAAAAATGATTAACCAAAAAGAACTGCAACTAAAACATTGATGATGATGATGATGATGATGATGATGATGACGATGACGATGATAAATTGATTATTCTAATTTGTTACACTCTTATCTTGATAAACACTGCAAGAGATACAAGTGACTCAGAAACGCAATATTTGAATGAGAGAGGTACAATCACAGATTCTATACCACCATACAGGAGGAGGAGCTGGGCTTCAGACTGACTAATTAATACATCACTTACTGGATATATTTTGAACTGCAGTAACAAACATACTTAACATTATGGTCAAATATTTTTTGTTCCATAGATCATTTTGAGAACGATACCAAATTCAAGAACTTGCCCTATTCAAGAACAGTTTTTCCTTCCCCAAAACTTACCATTTTAGAGACACAAAGTTTTGTTACAACAGTGACAGTGTGTGTCGTGAGAATGCAGATACATTTTTTATGCCAATCGCAGATTGACCCCTTTTTAAATCATGAATATAAATGCTTCATAAACTCTGAGATGCATTGCCAGTAAATCTCCAACATACAGTAAAGCCTTTTGATTGAGCAGCTGGAAAGAGACTTTTTTTTCCAAATTGGAGAGGGAGGACATTTTACTTATGCCAGACTGATTGGCCTTATAAGCGGCGGTGAGACCCATCGATGAGGTAGAGTTAATGGCATTGATTGTGGATATTGTGTGTGTGTGTGTGTCTCCCCCACTCCTGCAGGGACTCCAGTGAATCGGATTCCTATCATGGCCAAGCAGGTGTTGGATCTCTACACTCTCTACAAGCTTGTCACCGAAAAAGGCGGCTTAGTGGAAGTCATCAATAAGAAAATATGGCGCGAGATTACCAAAGGCCTGAACCTCCCTACCTCCATCACCAGTGCAGCTTTCACTCTCCGGACCCAGTGAGTGCGATAACCTTTCACACTTTCAACCTGTTGATAACCTCGAGTTGCTTCTTGACCATTGAGTCCAATTCAATTATCTGCTTTTAAAGTAAAGAGACTAGAAGATTGTGTGTGTATGACATGGCTGAAGTGGTTACAACACTGAACCAAAGAGATACCTTTGGCTAAGAAGTCACTGTAGAGCTGCAGTAGAGCTGCAACAAATGTTATAAATCGATTGTTATAATATTGGAAAATGGAAAAAACATTTGAATAATTGACTACTGTCCCACACACTATTATGGGAAAACATATGTTTTTGTATCCAGCTAAATGCTAGCTTGTCACCAGTAGCACACAGATACCAGCTCTGCACTCCGGCCTCACAGTTGATTGTAATTTGGCTCAGCTTGCAAGACTCTCACAAGTTCAAATAAGCTTCCTACTGCTCTGGATTGCTAGCTAACACGTTCTCAGTTGCCTTAATTACTGAGAATAAATTAGAGCATGCTGGTTAGCTAGCTGACCAGAGCTGTAAGAAAGTTATTCAGAGTGCTGGCTGCGTTAAAGTTGATGAATTTAGCTGACAGTGCTTCAGTAAAAAGTGGTTTTGAGTGGCTTTAAACCCTCGATCAAGAATTGACCAAAGTGTAGTTTCATTTTGAAGCTGATAGTTAAAAAGTTGCTGTTTCCTTTGTTTTTTTGCACCTTTCACTGCTGTTCCTACAAGCAGAATCTTATAACTATTACTTTAGTAATAGTAGTAATTTTTTTATTCAGTAGTTTTTTTAGAACACTATAAAAAATTATTTGTGCAGTATATTTGTGCAAAATAATAATAATAATAATAATAATAATAATAATAATAAGTAGAATGAATCATATTAATAATATTGTTCAGTTATTAGGGGAAAACACATCTTGGGCCTTTATTATTTTATAGAATATTTGAATATTTAAGATAATATTCATACATACATACATACGTCAACTAAACCGCTTATCCTTCTGGGTCGCGGTGGAAGATAATATTCAGTTTCAAAAATTTAAATATTCAATAGTTGCAGCCCTAAAAAAACAAATTGAATTTAGAATTTACTACCAAATGTGTACATCATTTCCTAATAAATGAAATATTACACAAACACAGTTTTGTCTTTAGCGTCACTTACCTTTGGCAAGTAGATATGTAGATACGGTGTACACATTTAAATCAATGATATTTAAGTCATTGTTTTTTTCTGTGCATAATGAAAAAGATATCTTAACCAAAATTTATAACTAATTTCCAATTATTATCCATACCTATCTCTTTAATAATACTGCAAAACTAACCTGCTTTTTTACTCCAGAAAGTGTTTTGACAGATTGTTATCTGTTCTGGTCTGCTCCATATGCAAAGTTTTGACCCCTTGAGTTGAAGCAGAGCTTGTTTGTGCAAGTCTGTTCTCCAAACCATCATTTACATCAATTACATCACCCTCAGAGAAGACAATATATAGGCTTCCTTAAACATATACAATGGCATTCAAAGAACTTGTGTGCAATCAGCTTCACCTGGTCATGAACCCATCTCATAGAAAAAAGTGTCCTTTCATGTGGTCTTTAAAACAGATGTCCTTCAACCAGACTCATGTAGATCAAGGGAAAGCAAGAGACCTCAAGCTGGATTACATAGTCACAGACAGGGAAAATATAGTGACTCTCTTTAGTCTTTAATGTGCTTTAGCTTTAAGATATAATAACTTTCAATTCTCAGTTCCTTTTGTAGTAAAAGATAGCTAATGATATATATAAACATTTAACATTTAGCACTACAAAAGGTTTTGGGGACTCAAAATTTGCCCTTATTTTATCACTCTTTAGGCCATTATGTGAGGTGATGTAATTTATTTAATTTTAAGTTAAATTGCAAATGTAGAATTTAGAGCACAATTTCTATGTATTTGCTGGGCTTCACATATTGGAAAAATAATTCATACATTATAAAGCAGTTATTATGCATTAAACTGTGCAGAAGTGTGTTCCCTGAAGAAAATGTGCTTTAACTTATTTTAACTTCAGCAAATAAATAAAACATGTCATTTGATTAGAGGCACCCAAACATTTGCAAACAACTGTATATCTACTTCAGGCAAACATATATAATCAAGCTGTGACTTTATGAAGTTTTAAAATATAGTACAGTTGACTCAATTTGATAACAACTGACATAACATGTTTACTGACATCTAGTAAACAGAAAAGTTCTTTCAGATACTTTATTCCTTTGTTTTGCAGTCATGTACTGTTGCTCTATCTTATTATGTGGGGAAAAAGTCTTCACAGTCCTTGTTGATAAGAGTCCTTTACACTGTGCAGTTTTTAATTCTTGAAAAACATCTGATTTAGTTCCTCAAGCTTTCCTGTGATTAGAGCTGCAAAAAAAACGCTACAGGAGAATCAGTAGAAGCAAGATATGTAAGATGTTAAGATGTTGGCCAGATGTTGTAACTGCTGTATTGTTTGGGTATTTTTTTAGAGTCTTCAGTCAGTGTGGAGTATCCCCTTACCGCAAAGATACAGAAAGTATGATACAAAGAGTACCCTGCAAAAAAATCACTGTAAAATTACAGTAAATGATTAGATACTAGTTGCATTACTTTCACTTTTACTGTACCATATTAACAGTAAAATAACAACAGTATACTGTCACTTCACAGTAACCTGGACCACAATATTACTGTGATATAGCTCCATTCTCCTGTACTCTCACAGTAATAATCTCCAAAACAGCTGTAAAAGTAATGCAGATGTAACAATGCAAGTAATGTAATTTACTGTAGATTTACATATGAAAAATAAATTTACCAGAACAATAAATATGTTTTTTTTTTTTTAAAGTTAAAGATAAACTAAATTAAATATCAATTAAATTTCAATAAAATTGTATTATTTTAATTGAAGTTTTTAATTAAATCAATAAACATATTTTTCAGCATGTTTTGCACTTTATATGCAAAGAATGTCTCAAGTAAACACTTTAAAATTCAAAAACACATTTTACAGGCAAGTTTAACTTTGCTTATAATTTGCATAGACAATCAAAAACTCACCCAAAAAATCCACTGTAAAATCCCAGGCTTAATACATACTAAGACTTATTATTCAGTAACTACAGGGACTTCAGTGCAAACTGGCTCAGCTACTCTCAGGTTATAAAAGTGTGTAATAAAACTTTGGCCCTGCCAGCAGGCCCTGGCCATGAGTCTTTAAAACACCAAAACCTGAATCATCAGAATGAAATTATTTAAAATGTTTTTATTGGACTGTTCTACCTCCTTTTGATTAATCTCACAGTAATTTGCTGACATTACTGAAAATATGTTGAGATGAGTTGATTTCACAATAAAATGATGAAAACATGATGAAATGTCCAAACATGCTGCTCTAACCCCAGTCTTCCTCCTTTCCTCAGGTATATGAAGTACCTATATCCCTATGAATGTGAAAAGCGGGGACTCAGTTCGCCCGGGGAGCTGCAGGCAGCTATCGACAGCAACCGCCGCGAGGGCCGCCGACAGAGCTACGGCTCCGCCCTCTTCAACTATTCCCCTGTAGGCACACCCACGCTGCTGCCCTCCCCCAAGCTCACCATGCCCCACATCAGCATGCCCAGCCCCAACGGAGCACAAATGGCCCACACCCCCGTCATCAAGAAAGGTGAGGAACATTTCCGTTTTCTGTGGGAAGCGCAGTAAAGAAATCACATAATTATACCTTATCCTATGATGATAGGCTGTACCTGGTCAGTGCCCAGTAACCTAAATGACATTAAATAACTTTGGGCACAACTGTGACTTCTGCCGCATAGCTTTCAAATTTCAGTGTATTCAAATAAGCCCTGTTCTTTATTAATCACAAAACAGCAGACACAGCCATCTGTACTAAATAAAAAAGTAAACTGTGTTTATTCAAGCACTGCATGCGAATGTTAGATTCGTCAGTTGTGAATCATACATACTATAATCATTTTATATGATATAAATACTGTAGAATCGGCAATAAACAATCCTACATCAGTGTTTATTTTAAAGCAGTTTTGTAAAGCCACAAAGATATAAAATACACTCCTAAACAAATACTAGGAGAAATTTCAAAAGAATGTAAAAAGATGCATGTGTATCAGGCTCTGTTTCTTACTGTAAGAGAGATCAGTAGGACAATTTATAACAAATATTATCATTATGCATCTTGCCTTGTAGGAATCACTAGCAATTCATTGAAAAGGTAGATTTTAATAAGAAGAATCAATCATTATTTGTAATTAAGTGACTAGTAAACCCTGATCTGTACACATGCATGTTTAGATGTATTGGATTGGAGTGTGGTTTGACCCGAGTGGGAGTTCATTCAAATCCATATCACAAACTGGCTTGAAGGAGAAGTCGTATCTCTTGCGCAATGGCACGATCCTTCTTTTGCTCACGCTCGTTGCGCATTGTGGCTTGGATGGTCGTGGCTGCAGACAGGAAACAGCTTGCAGGACTTCCTCTTGCCCAGGCTGCCAGTTTCCGCCTTAGAGCGGTGGGAGCGATGGAGTGCAGCGAGAATGATTCACTACAGCTCCCACATGGAAAAAGACACAGTCACGCAAAGCTTCCTACTTAAAGGATCAAAGGCTTTTTTAAGGTCTGTTGGTATTTATAGGGTGGTCACCACAGCGATTAAAATAGATCAGAGTGTGTGGATCATGATTTGGTGTTTCTCATGACCACAAGATAGGATTCTCTGTAACTATGTTTCTGATGCAACTGTACATGCATCATATAAATGCATCTATTAATTAACACTTCCCATTTAAAACAGACAGATATATAGAGTTGAATGTTAATACAGATTAGTTATGTATCCCTACTTATGCAGCAAAATACCAGTGATGGCAGTTAAGTCTATCAAACTGAGCATCTTGCTGGTGATCCGTTCTGAAAATTTGGCGATGGAGGATTTGGGGCGTGTGCATGTCCATGTTGGCCAGAGTGCGTTGGCGTGTAGAATCTGAGTTTTCTTTGTGCAGCTGTGTTTTCTTTCACTGTATAAAATATGCACAAGACTTCCTTTACTGTTGGATGCACCCTTTTTTCAGAGTGGGGCATGTTAAGCTCATTCAAAGCACACTTATTTTTGACTTATTGTTGAGTTTATCAAAACTACACTACTGATGGGTAACTTGTATTCCTATTTATATGTTTTCTTTTTTAAAAATGTTGATTGTGATACAAACTAAATAAACATCGGCAAATTTTCAGCTTAGATAATATTCTTTACATATTAAATAAATACAACAGCACTGAGAAATCATCACTGAAAAAGAAGAACAGATTAAACGGCAGAAATAGACCCATTTTTGCATCAGTCTGAAAGGGTTAAAAGTAACTTCAGTCCTAAAACTGGTGGTTCAGCTTTTATTATTTTAATGCATTTACCTTTAGTAATGAATCAAAAACAGACTTACTACTTCTAATTGCACAAAAGAGGTACACTGTTATCATATAGGCATAAAAATGCTTTGTGATGCATAAGTGTGAAGGTGGTTTTCTGTCATCAATATTGGAAAGTTTTTTTTTATCTGTTTTCCACAAAAAAAGCAAACAGTTCATCGAGCTTTATTCATGTGATGGAGAATATTTCTTCATTATAATTTGAATTAGACCAAAATAAACCAGTCAGATCATGGTGAAATGTGAGGTTTCATGATGCACTGAATTGTTTCCTAAAGAATCATAATCAAACTGCATCACTGTAAGGTAAGAGAGTTACCTACTTAATCATTCTTTAAGTTCCTATATTTTTAAACATTTTTGGACCTTTTTTGTCTCTTATCAAGACCAAGGACAGTTCAGTAGGTCTCACTGTATCCCTGTTCTCTGTTCCACAGAAGACCCCATGCTGCCTGGCTGTTTGACCAACCGAGTGGGCATCCCCGTGTCTCTGACAGGACACCACAGCGCAGCGGCTCAGGCTGCAGCTGCCCAGGCTGCGGCTGCTGCGGCAGTTCAGGCGGCTGCGTTGGAGCAGCTGCGGGAGAAACTGGAGGCTGGAGAGCCACCAGAGAAGAAGGTGATGCTGATGGCCGAGGAGCAGCAAAGGATCATGCAGCACGCGCTGCAGCACAACCTCTTTGCCATGGCAACCCAGCTGCCTATGAACATCAAGCTGAACAACAGAGGTGTGTGTGTGTGTGCATGTGTGTGTGTGTGGAAGGGAGGGGTGTGTAGCCCTATACTGACAGAATATATATGAGACTTCTATTCCTGCTAGAATATACTAAAGTTTAATTACAGCATAGTACACTGTGGCCTTGTAGTGTCTAATCCAGGATTCTCATTAAACATGTAATGATATTGAATTGATCGTGAAAAAACAACTCCTACCATTAAAATGTATATATTTCACTGTAATTACAGCATTTGTAGTAGAGTAATAATAGATCTGTCTGGGTTATGCTATGGCTCTGTAATTTAAGAGCTGAGCTGGTCCTAACCATCACTTTATGTGTAATTTTTAATGTCACTGAAGGAAAACTTCAGCTATCTCACACTATATCATAGCACACTTACTCCCAGCAGTTGGCAGACCCACAGAATTCTGTGTAGTCTTACACATATAATGTTGGCCTGCAGCTGTTCTAGTATTTAAGGAGGGGTCGCATCTTAAAATCAAATCACAGCCACAGATTGGTATTGCAAAGCAATAGAAGTAGAGATCAAAAGGTAAAACCTTAAACACCTCCCGCCGTTGTTGCCGACAACAAAAGCATGGTGTAATTCTGTTATAATTATTTGGCATAGCTCACGGAAACAAGAAATATAGTCAAAACTTCAACTTTCAATCGGTATCACATTTGTATATCGCTGCTGTCGGGAGAAAACCTTGTATTTCCAGTTTGCCATTTTTCAGTTTTTGTCATAATTTTAAAATGCCTGTTGCCCTTTACATTGTTTATTATAAATTATAAATTTCATGATGAATGGACTAAGAAAAACGGCCCAAAATTACTTGGGAAAAGGCTGGTTCCATTGACTAACATTAAAAGTAAAGCATATTTTTTCCTTCTCCTGTAAAGTTATCATTTACAGAGGTACAAGGTTTTGTTCTGACAGCAGCAATATGAAGGAATACAAGGAGATATTTTATTATGATTTGAATTGGACAGAAATGTATTGTTTTGTGTAAATAAAACCTTTTTTTTACATACGTTATTATAAGTTTTAGTTATTGTTCAGCATTAAAAGAAACAGAAAAGTCAGAAGTGTAGACCTGAACTTCAGTACAGAAAGTAAAGCTAATATATGTAATATGTAAGTAATATATGTAATAATGTAATTCATTAAATGTCTGACTATGTAATTATACAAATTTGCTAGATCAGGGACATGCCTATTTAAAAGTAATTACATAGTCAGATATTTAATGAATTATGCAGTCAGATACAGAAAGTAAAGCTACATGCATGCAGGTTTAAGTGCACTGTTACTGCTAACAGTGGTTTTATAGAGCGCCAAAAAGAAACAAAAGGGGCTTATTATGGCTGATAACCGATACATTAAAATATGCCTGGATCAGCTCCATTATCCGATTGCATCATGAGAGCCGTCATAAAAATAATTATATAATGTAAATCAAATGTGTAGCAAAGCAGTATAGTGACTATACATGTCTGAAGATTCTATCTATGTACAACATATTGAAATTAAATCCAATGTGTTTTTTCTAAGGGCCATTATAGGTTTAAATGAGTGGATGGAACACTCTCTGCTGTTTAGACTGGACAGTTAGCAGCTGGCGAAATCCCAAATCTAGTGCTGGAAACAGAGGGTCACTATAATTTTCACCCATACTGAGGCTATGTAGTTGATGAATAACTCCTTTAACTGTATATAAGCCACAGAGAGTAAAGGATAGCAGACTATGAAAGCAGAGAGCTCGGCTCAGGTCGTCATTGCAAAATATTAAGCTTCCAAAGATCCATCACATTTAATTCAATATATTATGTGTGCTGAGCGTATAAATGTTGTAGAGAAATAACCCTTCTAAATTCAGGTCAAATACGAGCTGTTTCTAAATGAATAAAAATGCTGCTGTCTGGCTACAAGTAAAATGATAATGATTTCACTACACCTGGCTTGAAGATGAGCCATAAGTCATGCATTTCATAATGACAGAGTCCGTGAGAAGATTGCGGGGTCTATCTTTCCATGAGCAATATGTTATTTCTGCATGAGTGTTACTCTTGTATCAGTCATAATGACAGACTGTGCTTTATATACTGTACGATGGGAAAATGAAGCATAATTCCATAGCGCTGGGCAGGGCCTTGATGTAATAGAGTCAAACACTCTGCAATTTAAAGATTATTTTAAATGTTATTTGCTTTAACCACGTCTGGAAATACATTGAGGCGTCCCTAGTAATGACACATGAGATAGAAATGATAGACATTAAAGAGCTCTTTATTGTAGCTGCAGCCCCAAAAATGATGCAACAAATAATTTAGCCTCCGTCAGGGCCTTCAAGCCTTTTCCCTCAATAAGAGAACCAAAGAGAACCAAAAAACGTTGCTACCGCTCAAATATTATGACTATTGTATCTCTGAATCTTATCTGATACAGTGCAGTAAGTTTGTAGGAAACAGGAAATATGTTCTTGCAAATCTTGAAAGGTTTGCTTTTCAAAATTTTTGTTTGTTCATTTGTTATGAAATGTTCCCACAATATAAAGAGCATCTGCTGTTTTCAGATGTGTAAAAAATGAAAAGACAAAAAATTGTGAGATTTTCCTCTGATATTGGCAGTGTGTATATCCTTTTTCATTTGGTTGTTTAACCTTTAGAAGTGATATAATTACAGTCTTATGCAAATGTTTGGGCACCCCAAATGTCAAATGACCTGTTTTGTTGCTACTTCACAATAAGTTCATGCATCCTCTACAGTCAAAAAAAAAAGTTCAGTGAACTTATTTCGATTATACCACACATTTCCATAATCAAATAAAATACATTCAGTATACACAGATTTCTTCAACATAAACTGATGGTACGAAATTAAAATATTTCAGTGCATTTTAACTGTTGGCTCCATGAAGTTTCATAGAGTTTTCATTAATTGAAATACATTTTATCATTTTTCACATAAACCAGTTACTTAAAGGCAACGTAATTCATTTAATTGAATCGATTTAATTTCAACATATTTTCAACATGTCCAACAGCTCTGTTTTTGAGTGTACAGGAAACACTCCTCTGTAGATTTTAATGCATGATTTCTATTTATTCACTGAAATTAACTTGGGAAATATGAAACATAAAATGTGCCACGTGCAAAAGTTTGGGTAGATGTGCACATTTCAAAATGTTCAGCAAATAAAATACCTTACTTAAGTTTGTTCCCTGGTGATGCAATTAGAAAATCAACAAAGCGTGTTAATTTACCAGGGGTGCCCAAACTTTTGCATAAGACTACATTGTTGTTTTTCTATACTGTTTAACATAATATTGTAGTCAGTGATGTAATAAATTGCGTTGAGATTTGCTCTCTATTCTGTATGAAGTTCAGGTCTCCACTACTGACTTCATTTGAATTATTTGATTAGAAAGGACGAAATAAGACTGCATGCACAACAGTATCTTTTCATCAAGTTTAAATCATAAAATATCTCCTTTTCTTTTTCCAAAATAATTAGCAGTATCGATTGTTCTTCTCGAACAATTTTTTCTAGTTGTTTCAACAAGCAACAAGTGAGAAATACAAACCTCAGTTCCAAAAAACAGCAGGACAGTATGTGAAATGTAAATAAAAACAGGAAGCAGTTTCATTGTTCTTTGTAAAAACACGCTCATTTTGAAATTGGTGCCTGCAGCACATTCCAAGTAAGTTAGGAAATTTAGGACTAGGAACATTGTGAAATGTTCAAAAAACATCAGTAATCAGGTGATGAAATCATGCTTGGGTATAAAAGGAGCATCTGAGAAAGAGGGTCGCCACTTTGACAAAAATTGCATCAGCGAATAATACAGTTTTTCTCAATGCACTCAAACCGCATCCAGTTGTCAGAATTTAAGTGCTGCACCATTTAAGGTGTAAACTTTGAATAAGAAATATAAGAAAATATAGGAAACCAACTTCAGCCTCGTCAGACAGAGAAAAAGTGAATTTAGAATATCCCGCTGGAGACCTTCCTTGTAATCGTCTGGTGAAAAATTATCATCACATGCACAGATTTTATGTATCAACTTTACTGAACATCTCTGTTGCTAGTTTGTGGTTCATTGCCGTGTGGTTCACAGTTTGCATGTGCCTGCAGCAGTAGGACAATAGTACAAACCAAAACTGTTTATGCAACCAGAAGTATTCAGTATAATAATTGGTGAAATACTTTCAGTTTGTGTATCAGTAGTTTTTGTACAATTTTAGCACATTTTAGCACATCAAATTTGGAATGAGCAACAGTTAACAAAAAAAGCAAAGTAAATAAGGTAAAACTTCTGTATTTAATACAGGTCAAACAGAATTTAGTAATCACTGCTTTCTGTTTTTATTAGCATTTCACATACTGTCCCACCTAAAATTACAGCATGCTTTTGTTATCAGCAGCAAAAAGCCTCTTAACCCCCCTTAACTAAGAGTGAATTCACAAGTCTGTGAATGTATCTCTCCGTACCATAAAACAATATTCAGAATGGCCTGTGTGTTATGATACAGACCCTCTATGTAGTACCTTCTCCTGAGATAACTGGAAAGTTCAAATGGATGCGACATGGTTTTGACAGCCCCCCCCACCCCACTTCCTCTCCCTCCTTCTGAACTCTTTTAATAAACTGCTCCTTATCCTGTCACTCATGAGTTATCGCCGATAGTCAGCGGCGCGCTCCTCTTGCTTCTTGTGTTCCTTTTATAAATGCTCATATTGAGTTTTTCTCTCCCTCGCTCTCCGGCTCCTCTCTTGACAGATGATAGACAAGAGACCGCATTGAACCTGTCTACCAACGGCATTAGCAGCATCAACATGTCAATAGAAATAAATGGAGTTGTCTACACAGGTAAATAGAGCGGCCGTTTGCTGATGTAATTGCAGGCAGGAAATTCAATAAGTTATAGCAGCACCCCCTGCGCTTAGTCCTCCACACAATTTGATGTCTTTGCTATAAAATCCATTGTAATGAAGTGGCAAGTCCAATAGAGTTAAAAAAGTTAAATATCTTGAAATTGGGCCCAGGCGCTGTGAGGTCGATGGGGCTTATTGTCTTTCGTGCCTGAGTGGAAAGGGCTCCTGCTCAAGGTGGATACAGTGCTTGTGCCTGGCAAGCAAGCGACTGTAATTACCTGAAGATGGCCCATTGGAGTGGCCTCCATAAGTGTGCCTGGAAACTTTTCTGAGAATTAGATCAAATGAATTTTTTTTTTTTTACTGGAAGCCAGTTTCAAAAGCAAAACAGCCAAACTAAAATTTCTCAGAAGGTTTCATTCTTTCTTATTCACAGTAAAAGGACAGATTTAGAGACTGAATCAATGAAGATTTCACACCAACACTGCCATGGTGTCTAAAACCATTATGCAAGGGATTGCTGTCAAAATGTGTCACCTGATAAAAAGGCATGCTATTACACGATGTTCTGGGGTGGCTGCTATTTCTTTTTGATTTCCTTGGAACACACAAGGTTGTTTCACCATCACACATGTGGGTCACTGTAAATTTGCTTGATTCAGCTGCTTGAACTGATTCAACCACTTGAACTGTGTGAAGTTTGCATGCATATTGCAGTGGTTGTAGTTTCATTATTAGCAGTTGTAGTCATTATGTCAGTCTTATTATTCAATTGTTAGTCAAGCACTTCCGACTACTGCACAGTACAGAATGTTTTAGACAGTTTTATCATAATATATACGCAAAGTATATAGTTCAAAAGTTTCAAATCACTTGCCATATTAATTTTGTTTGTTATATATAATAATAACATAGTGTAGTGTAGATGTAAAACTAGTCGCTTAGTGAATTGTGAATAGTGAATGTTTTTGCTCAATATTTTAAGAACTGAGGATAAATGATGATAAATAATATACTGTAAATATCTGTTTACATTAATTTTATCTCTCTGTCTTGAGATTTTTGAAATATGATGTGTATATACACATATCTTTCTCTGTTTACTTCCATTAAAAGTTAAATGTTTTTCCTTGTCCTGTATAGTTACCTTTTTGGAGATGCAAGGGTTTGTTCTGACAGCAGCGATATGCAATAACATTCATCTTTATGTGTATTTCTCTCTGAATGCAGATACAACTAAAAACCTGAATCTGAAAGCCAGGTTAATGTTTCAAAACATATTCAAAATGTGACAAAAATTGCATAAAAATTTGTAGCATTCAGCTCAGATGCTGTTTTAAGCTTGTTCTGGCAAGATATACACTATATGGACAAAAGTATTAGGACACCTGCAGGAGCTTTTATGCCATTCTAAATCCATAGGCATTAATATGGAGTTGGTCCCTCCTTCGCATCTATAACAGCTTCCACTCTTCTGGGAAGCTTTCTACCAGATTTTGCAGTGTGTCTGTGGGAATTTTCATCCAGAAGAGCATTTGTGAGGTCAGACACTGATGTTGGATGAGGGGGCCTGGCTCAAAATCTCCATTTCTAGTTCATCCCAAAGATGTTTGATGGGGTCAAGGTCAGGGCTCTTTGCAGGCCAGTCAAGTTCTTCTACACCAAACTCACACAGCCATGCCTTTATGGACCTTGCTTTGTGCACTGGGGCTCAGTCATGCTGGAACAGAAAAGGGTCTTCCCCAAACTGTTCACACAAAGTTGGAAGCATACAATTGTTCGAAATCTCTTGTTATGCTGAAGCATTAAGATTTGCCTTCACTGGAACTAAGGGGTCTAGGCCAACCCCTGAAAAACAACCCCATAGCATTATCCCTCCTCCACCAAACTTGGCACAATGTAGTCAGGCAGATAATGTTCTCCTGGCATTTGCCAAACTTGGACTCGTCCATCAGACTGCCAGATAGAGAACCATGATTCATCACTCCACAGAATACGTTTCCACAGCTCGAGAGTGTCCAGTGGCGGTGTGCTTTACACTTCTCCACCTGACGCTTGACATTGTGCTTAGTGATGTAAGGTTTGCTTGCAGCTGCTCGGCCACTGAAACCCATGCCATGAGGCTCCCTGGCGCACAGTTTTTGTGCTGATGTTAATGCCAGAGGAGGTTCAGCAGAGCGTTGCTGACTTTTATTACCATGTGCCTCTGCACCCATGACCCTGCTCTGTAACTTTACATGATCTGCCACTTTTTTGGCTGAGTTGCTGTTGTTCCTAAACGCTTAAACTTTTCATTAACACCACTTACAGTTGATTGTGGAATAAACAGGAGGCAAGAAATATCGCAAACCGACTTGTTGCTATGGTGGCATCGTATTAAAGTACCACACTCAAGTTCACTTTGCTCTTTAGAACAACCCATTCACAAATGTTTGTAAAGGAAGACTGCATGGCTAGGTGCTTGATATTATACACCTGTGGCAATGAGACTGAATGAAACACATGAATTCAGTGCTCAAGAGGTGTGTCCCAATACTTTTGTCCAATTATTGTATGTAGCGTATATCCACAACGATGGAGGGCATTTTCTGCAAGCTGCAAGCAGCTTTACCAGCAAGCTCATGTTATTGAAGGGATTGACTTTCCCTGTAAACTGAAGTCATGTTAAGGTTAAAAGCTTTCCTGTTTTCCAACCAGTGCACTGTCTCTTCCTCCTTTGTAATGTTTGTGCCTATAACGAACAATCAGTGTATATTAACTTCATAAACTGCATAGTAACAAGTAGCTGATTGAATGTCAGCCCATTGTCAGTTTTGATAGCCTTTTGTAAATGTGTCACTGGTGCTTTGCTGGTGCATTTTGCAGAAAAATTAAATAATTTGAGCTTTACTATGAATTATTCAGTAATTCCTATGAAAATACTGTGTTGGCTATGTAGTTGCGAGGGTGAGTCTGGAACCACAGACAGGTTTTTGAAGTTTGAGGAGTAAAGAGTAAACACAAATAGTTTTTTTTTATGATTCATATGGTATTTCAGAATGCTGATTTGCCATTTAGTGACACATCATTGTCTTGCACTGACCGCAGGTGTGCTGTTTGCTCGCAAGCCAGCCATTTCGGTCATGCCGGGCAGCCAGCGAGTCCAGCACCACGCCGGCTCTCAGGGAAAGAGCAGCAGCCCCGGGCTCAGCAGCCACATCCAGCCGTCCTCTTCCTCCTCCTCCACATCCTCCTTGCACGGACCAGCTGCCTCACCTTGAGCCGCTCCCCCCAAAAGCCACCGAACCTGCTCCACTTCTCTCAAAGACCCAAGCAGGCTGCTGTACTATCCGCTTCTCTTTTTCTTTTCTTCGTATCCTCTGATGGTGGCTCCCAGATCTTTTTTTTTTTCTTTTTTACACGTCCTCCTATGATCCTTGTGGCGGAATCCGACAACTATCTCCTGCAAAGTACTTCTAAGAGAGAATAAAAGGTTACTGCTTTGTCCAGGCGAATTAAGCAGCAGCTTATGGCAGCACGTGTGAAGTGCATTAAATATACATACGGAGCAAGCTTTTATTTTCCCTCTGAGGACATGTTTTTAAGTGTGAAGCTTCTTTGCGAGGCTCGCTACGTGACAGTGCCACAAACACATGCGGCCGTAAGATGGGGAAAACGGACAAAAAGCTCAAGAACAGAATGCTTCAGATGTTCAAATGAGGCATTTCTGCCGGATTCTCCACATAAGTACATACTTGTTGGCCATTGAGCATGAAAGTACACCTTGTCTTTTTCAAGTATCTTCATGTGAATTGTTGGATCAAACAACAGACTAGCTCTACTTTCAGCTAATACCAAAGAGCATATGGGTAACATTGTAATGGTGTTTGTGACGTCCTTTGCATACGCACAGCTTCTTCCATCATCCCCACATTTAGATGATGCCCATGCAGAAATGGAATATAAAAAAAATAATTAAGCACATCTCACTTAACTGAGGGTATCAAACAGTCAGGGAGATAAGTGTACTTTCTGTACCCAATTATAGCTTTGGCTTTTCTTCTGTAAAGAAAAGACATCAATTGAATATCCCCTTCGAGGCCTGCGTCCATATAATCTTTTATAGATTGGGACAATCATCAAAAATCATGACATCAGATATTATTTCCTCGTGGAAAAAGCAAAGAGGGTAACTTTGGTGGTATTTTATGTTGCCTCTTTGCTGGTTGTGGGGACAGAACTGCTTGGAGAGTTCTTTTGGAGGAGGCTTTCCCACCAGTCTTTAATGGCAAGTGTTCATTAAATGAAATGAAAGATTCCATAATTAAATTATCATTGTAAGCTGGTTAGATGTGTCAGTATAGGCTTTCAAAGCTACTCAGTGGATTTTGTATTTTGAAATTACAAAGAAAATATGGGTGAGCGCCACATTATACTTGATATGAGAAAAAAATATACAAATATGGCAAGAAGGGCAAATGGGACTTGATTAAGTCAAACCAGTAGTAGTTTATGAGACAGTTTCTTTATTGTGAAAAGATCTGATTTAAAAGTCAACAGAAGCGACGACTTGAAAGTTACTCTTTTTTATCCCTCTTTTCAGCTACTGCTCATGCTCTTTGTTACCTCTGCTTTTCTTTCTGCCTGTAAGGGAATTCGGAGGATATTCTTTTGTTTTTTTTATTATTTTAGAAGTCTGTAAACATATGATTTCAAATTCTATTTATTATTATAATTTTCATCTTACTGTTTTTAATCTGGGGCTGTATCGATGCAGCAGCTCCATGTTCAATCATGTTTTTTTTTTCTTTTTCCAAAAAACCCCAAAAGTTATTTTACATACAGCCAGATACCTCACAGATCTACCTGTACATACATATAATAGATTATGAATACAAGATATACCTCATTTATTTCATTTCTATTATTGTTGTGAAGCCACTTGAAAATCAATGCTTTTGTTTCAACAGATCACTGGATCATATTTTGTATCGTTATACCAAAGAAGGGAATATATTATTAACACACATCTACCTCATTTGTTACAGACTGTGCCAACAAACACGACCACAATCGCCAGTTGCTAAGTGTAAACTCTTTTCTTTTTCCTTTTTCTTTTTTGGTCCAGGCTCTGCTGTAATTTGCATTGCTTAGTGTCTTTGTCTGTGGCATTGTCTTTTTTGTGTATGGAAAAGAATGCCAGAAGGATTTTATTGTATGTACACAATCTTCTCCAAGCTATTTAATATAGATGTGATATAGGGTTAGTAAACAGGACACATCAGATAGATCGGTTACTGCACCGCAAATGTTTTTATTCTGCACCAAATACGTACTAATAGACTATATAAGCAAAGCTACAACCACTGATATTGCTTTGGATTTCACGTGTCTGTATATGCACAGTGGTTTGGAGCGTATATTTTATAAATTCCAGTGTTTTACTTGAATCACTGTTTTTCATGCACAATGTTTTAGGCTTCAGGAAAACGAGGGCTAGGTTTGCTAAAGCATTTCATCGCCATCATATCAAAACCTTGTTCCTTGTAATCTTTTGATTTGTTTATTTCTTACATCGTTTAAAACGTTAGCTGTCTTTCACAAATGGGACAATACAGATGGTCTAAAATGACTTGTTTCAGTAATTCAAGTTAAAAGTTGACAGTTTTCCTTTCTCCAGTAAAGTTACCAATCCAGACATGGGAGATTTTGCTATGATGATGACTAAACAATGAGAAATCTGCTGCTCAGTCACTTAAGCTTAAGCTTGGAAACGATGCACTTGCAAATGGCGGCAGCAAACCTGGCCCTTCAAAACAAAAACCAAAAACTTGGAACTTCTTCGAGGTTTCATCTGAATGTTGAACCGTGCTCTAGAAACTTCACAGTCATCGGAGATTGAGGATGTTCACCCAAGGTCAAATGTAGTTTTTATATGGACCTTCTCATAGTTTGGTCACCTTCCACTCAAACCATCTTTATAATTTTTATTGTTCAAATGGAATTTTTAGCACTTGGCTCCAAAATATTCTGGGAAAACGCAGATATGTTTTCACTTCAGGCCTTGGTTGACAGATGCTAACCTAAGAAACATAACGGATGTTTCCATAATTTAGAATTTAGCACAACGACACAACATATTGTAGCTTGACGATCATTTTTGTCATTGTATAAAAGCAAAAAACTGAAGGAAATATATGAATATATTTACGGAACATCGCAACGGAGCACAATCAACGCACAACTGTCACTATTCCAATTGTTCACTCGAATTTGCTGATTGACATATCAAGGGATGTGCTCTTATTATTTATTTTCCATATCAGTGGCACAGTCTCTTCTTTCATAACAGCTGTCAGCTCCCCCTTCGACCCATATCGCTAAGCTGCGGAGATTTTTGCTGGAATCTCTGGAGTGTTTGTAGACTGTGAAACAAGAACGATTCCTGAAACCAAAGCTTTTTCCAAAAAAAGAAACGATGTTCACTCATTCTTGTACAAGTACAAGATAACCATCAGAAAGCTTGTTAACAACGAATGTTATCATTTTGCTGAAGGTTAAGAAAAGAAAAGGGTTCACTCATGTGCTTACAAAAGAAAAAATAATATGTTTACTTTGTTAGATATGTAAACAATGCTATGCTGGTAGATTTTAGATCCTATTCGCTGTGTATGAAGCTTCAAACATTTCTTTTTATTTTATCTTTTATTTACTTTGGATAAATCCAGTGCATTATGGGAAAGCTGGATTGTGGTGCTCAGGGGTTAAAAAAAAGTACAAAAAAAACAGGTGAAAGAGATTTTTTTTTGTTTGTTTGTTTGTTTTGCCATTAACTTGTAGCATAATTAGAAATAAAGTACTGCTTTCAACTTTACCAACAACTGGATGTTGTCATTACTTCATTAATACAAAAAGGTTGCTTAAAATCTTTAGCTGTAAATAATAGACAAAATAGTGCCCGAATGCTCATATAAAGAAAGTTCAGCTTTTTGTTTTGAAGTTGATGTTAACAAAAGCATGTGATGTAATTTGATTTTTCACTTGCAGCTCATTGAAACGTGGTGGAATTCTGTCAGAAATGCATATTATTTCTATTGATACCACATTTGTGTCCATAAAAAGAAGAGAAATACAACCCCATTTCCCAACAAGGTGGGAAGGTGTGCAGAATGTAAATAAAAATAGAATGCAATGATATGCAAATCATGTAAACCATGGAAAATAGGAGGAAAAAAATAAAGGAAAATACTACAAAGACAACATACCAAATGTTGAAACTGAGAAATATTATTGTTTTTTGATAAATATATGCCCATTTTGAATTTGACGCCAACGTTCTGAAAAAGTTGGGACGGGGGCATGTTTACCACTGTTTCTCATCACCTCTTCTTTTAACCACACTCTGTAAACATTTGGGAACTGAGGAGACACTGCTGTAGTTTTGAAAGTGAAATGTTTTCCTGTTCTTGTTTGATATAGAATTTCAGCTTCTCAACAGTTCAGGGTCTCATTTGCCGTATTTTTCATTTCATAATGCGCAAAATGTTTTCACTGGTGACAGGTCTGGACTGCAGGCAGGCCAGTTTAGCACCCAGACTCTTTTAATACAGAGCCATGTTGTTGTAATACATGCAGAATGTGATTTGACACTGTCTTACTGAATTAATCAAGGCCTTTTGAAAAAGACGTCATCTGGATGGCAGCATATTTTGCCAAAACATGTATATATCGTTCAGCATTAACACTTACACAGATGTGCAAGGCACCCATGCCATGTGCACTAATGCGCCCCATACCATCATGAAAACTGGCTTTAGAATTGTGCACTGATAACATGCTGAGTGGTCTTTAGCCCAGAGCGTCCATGATTTCCAAAAAGAATTTCAAATGTTAATTTGTCAGACCACAGGACACTTTTCCACTTCACGTCAGTCCATTTTAAATGAGCTCAGGCCCAGAGAAGGTGGCTGCGTTTCTGGATCCTGTTTATATGTTGTTTCTTCTTTGCGTTTTAGAGTTTTAACTTGCATTTGTGGACAAAGCGATGAACTGTGTTCTCAGACACTGGTTTTCACAAGTGTTTCTGAGCCCATGCAGTGATTTCCACTACAGAATCATGTATATTTTTAATGCAGTGCCGCTTGAGGGCCCAAAGATCGTTGCCAGCAAATACTGGTTTTTGGCCTTGTCGCTTACATACAGATATTTCTCCAGATTCTTTGAAGCTTTTAATGATATTATGTAGCATAAATGAAGAAATCTCTAAGTTTGTTGCTATTTTATGTTGAGAAACGTTATTCAATTGTTGCACTTTGCTTGTGCAGACTTTCACAGAGTGGTGAATCCCTCCTCATCTTTACTTCTGAAAGTCTCAGCCTCTCTGAGATGCTCTTTTTATATTGTCATGCTACT